TGTGATATTTGTTAGATAATTTCGAAAATGTTTATTTCATTGCATTAACGCTTTTGATTGGTCAAAGTATGCATGTAATATTTGTTAGATAATTTCGAAAATGTTTATTTAGGAATATGAATCCATAAAATAGATCATGTTGCATATAAATTACTGCATCAATTACCAACATCAAATATGCATATGTAGACAATTAAACTAATTTATCACACCTATGTAAGTTTTGTATTTGTTTGTCTCACAATTGCAAAACACATATAATCTTTTATCTGTCATTCAGGGAAGAAATTTAAATATAATTGTAACATAGCACTTCACGGAGAAGAAAGTCAATTGTGGGTTTCATGGTATAATATTCATGACAATGTACTTCACATCAAATCTTCTCGATCTAATGTTTGTCAACCTTCTTGTAATACAATGTTGTTAATAAAGATAATCTTACCTTTACATACCTTGGTATTTATATAAATAGGCTCAAGATGGTAACGATATATTTCCAGGTTAGTATTCAGTAATTGCTGATCCCCAATCATATATTCTATTCACCGTAAATCATTGCATAATCCAATTTTGTTTGGTGTACAACAGTTTAGAATCGTAGAATAGTTTTTTTTTCTGGCGTTGGCTTATCCGCTTTTTTATTGTTTGTTGTTTTGTCCGTTGTTTATGGCAATAAAGATGCATGCTATTGACCAAGGAATCATCATTGATACACACAAAACAAAAACATTTTCTTAGATTTCGGGAGAGATCTAATTTTAGTTGTCATCAAAACAACAAATTTTATTGATGATTATTCCTTCATAATATGTTTATGTTATACAACTGTGTTACGACATATGAAGATGAGATAGATTTGGTACATATATATATATTAGATGATTCAACAGACAGTACCGAAAATTTTGTTTACCTGACCCAAAATAGTGTAGTAACTTTATCTGACGAGGAACGGCAATGACATAAGCTTTAATTATTGTACATGTAATGTGACTTTTGAATCGCGAAAACACAATACTTTTACACTATGATGTTTATGGCAATGACATGTGATATAAACCTATCATTTCGATGCAATATCATGTTCTTTTGTTTACATGTTTGCAAATCAGGGTCGAGAACTATATCGCACACTATATAAAACAAGGCCACGAATTGTTATATGTATTATGTGACAATTGAATGATAAGAGCACACCACTATCTTGCACGATATAAATCATGATCTTTATACATATAATAATTTAATTGACGAATGACAAGACACTGCGCTTTATTTATTATACGTGTAATGTGACACACTGATGATATGCCATGGTTATTTATGACAATGATCTATTGTCTCAGCATAGTGGCAGGATACATACAATCCATCAATCATTATGTGAGTATAGCGAGTGTGGTTTGAATAGACACCGTATATACAATTTAACACTTTGTGCATATTTTCTATATTGTAGAGCCAGTGAAGAGAAATCAAGGCATACCAAAAGAAGGTAAATTTCAGTACCAATAACTGGAGCCAATAGTGTGATATCAACCTAACTCATTAACATTCCAGCAGATGAAATTTACATTGGCAATTTTATGACCAACACATTGAGAAATGTTTTATCATTAATATAAAAACGGCCCTGCCTTTGTTTTCGAGTTTCTTTAGCCATGTGCAAACAATGCTTGGAAATAACAAGATCGCCACCCTTGGGTGATATTTTTAATATATATGTCCAAAGTTTCATTGAAATCAGTTGAATAGTACATAAAAAAGGTAAAAAGGATTAAAATCGTCTAATTAATATGCAAATTAACTAATTGATATGCACAAATTTCAACCAAACCTAGCCAGGTATGACTTCTATCCCAGAACATTGATTTACCAAGTTTCATTTGTTCAGAAATAAATTGCATCATATAACTACACTAAATAGATCCCATAAGAATAATATCAGGCACGACAATGAATATCGCCTTAATTTTACGTGGAATGCGATCTTTAAATAACAATGCCAGACATGTGTTAAGTTTTATTACAATGATCTATAAAATCAATATATTAGCAGGACATTGGTGACCTTTCTATCGTTTAAATGGAATATCTATTGTTGCTTAAATAAACATCTTCTTTTACATTCTAACGCGAGTGCATATTTTCTTAATTGTAGTGACAGAAACGAAAGATTTGGTACCAGATCAAGGTATAATCAAGTTATTGTAATTTAGCCAAGTAGCATTATGTATATTATTTTCACTTTCACATTCACATCACTATATTAGCAGGACATTGGTAACCTTTCTATCCTTTAAATGGAATAGCCAGCGTTGTTTAAATAAACACCGCCTTTACATTCTAACGCTCGGGCGCATTTTCTTAATTGTAGAGACAGAAAAGAGAATATACGGAGGAAGAGGTAAATATATTATTCACATCGAAACACAAAAGATTGTTAATTAACAGATAATAGAAAAGTAAAATCCAACGTGTGTTTCAAATATTATGCGATCACACAATTGACGTTATTTTGTGTTATTAACATTAGGCAATTTTAAAATACAACATATGCATTTACTACATGTTTGTTTCTCTGAACAGGAGGTGGCCGTTTCTAACTACTTGCGGTTGGTGAGTAGCAATTCTGAAATTCTGACTTTGAAAGCATACACAATTTGACGATCATATTATATCCACAATATATCTGTTCAGCATTATGATCTTCATGATTTGACATATTTACATTTTAATATTTGTTCTTACACAGGGCTGTAAACCAGGAAGCTGATATATCGCTAACCATGGCATGTCAATATACTGATAACAAACACATTGGAATAAAGTAGTGTAGTACGCTTGATATAAAATGTACTTGTAGTATTTAATAAAGTAGAGAGAAACAAGTAACCGTGTAATTAAGTTCCTCTTTACACAACCATGTTGCTATCTTTTCCAAAAAGACCCTCCAACGTCTCCATGTAAACGAATATGATTACCTACTCCCGTGTTTTTTATAATCCGATGGATACTTTAATATAATTTTTTAAATTAACTACATAGGTAGTTAATAAAGAAAACCAATAATAATCGGTGGAATTAAGGCCATGATTATCAAATTTGGTACTATAAGTACATATTGACTAATCAAAGTATATGGACAGGAAATAAATATAAACAAATATATGGCACCGACGCCGACTATATAGTACATGAATACCGTGGTGGCAGAGTTCGTATGGGTTTAAAATTGAATGAAACTGCATAAAACTACGTGTAAATAATGTATGGGTGGGAATGTCATAAACGATGTTGATTTGTCATATTAAAACCAAAGTGTTGAGATCCACATGACTCCCTTACACGATTCGATTCCTTAAGTTTTAAAGATTGTTTATGGAATGTTATAATAGCTTGGTTTCAAAGTTTTTCTCTGTTTTCCCACTTTATACATCACTAATGGAGCTATTCACACTGTTTATTGGCGCCATATAACCTTAAAAACAAAGGTGTATTTGTATCTCGATGAGGGCGCCTTTACAGCGGGCGCTGACGACAATCAACGTGCACGACGAGACGTTCTATTTCTAGATTTTAAGGCCAGTTCTTTTAAATTCCGCAAAATAGGGCTGGACCAAACAAGACTGTGGAAAGTGTGTGCGTCCTAGCTAAATGAACTACTATAATATTTCAGTCAAAGGTTATTCAATGTGTACGTGATCTTTCATATCCGATTTTTCTAAATAATTTTTTCAGCAAATTAAAAAGCACCAACCATGCGGGTGGCAGAACAACGTGTTCGTTTTGGTGTTGATGATGTAGACGTTGTATTATAGTCGTTTTCATTGTCGTGTCTTAAAAAACATTGTGTTGAGATTTTGGAGTTCGTGCATTCCGGTTATTGAATGTGGTATAGACAAGGGGTATGTCTTATTCTATCCGGGAACGTGAAATGTATAACTTAATACTGCTAGGCGGATTGTCCTCGGAATGAGTACATTGTCTTGTAGTATCTATAGAGAGACTGTGCTTTACTTCGTCGCACGTTTATCAAATACGAATATGCGATCAATCCATTGCATTTCGCGGCTGCTCAATTCTATATTTGTAATATTTACCCCCACTTTCTTTGCAGTAATATCAATTTTAAGATACGCAACATTTGTATTTAGTAAATTCGCTAATTCGGGCATATTCACAACATGCATAATACCGCCACAGATTTGATAGATTGTATAGTCACTAGCATAAATGCATCATATATATGATTTGCGTCTTTGACATATATGTAATATGTATACATGTAATAAGTATGACAGCTAAGGGATTCGAGAGATGTCTGCCTTGTCAAAAGCAGTTTCGTAGTTTCGGTTGTCATCAAGTTGTTGTATTGCACGCGAAATTCTTTATTCAACGATTGAAAATAGCCTATATTACAAAACCAATATTTAATGTGAAGCATTTGTCATTAATATTAGTCTTGTACCTTTAAGTGATTAAACGCGCGTACTTAGGAATCTCTCCAGACTACATTTGTTTGCTTACCTCTACTGGTCAAATCACTGGTGCTGCCATTGTCGCCAAATTTGGCACAAAATTGCAATAGTATCCAGCCATACCTAATAATGACTGTATGGCTTCTATTTTATCTGACAATACTTGCAAAATACTGTAGAACATGTTGAAATAGCTGCATGCAGTTTTAGCGGATTTGACTCTTGGCATGAACCAACAGAATCTTAATTTAGCGTCTTAAGTGTCGACTATCTTCCTGTGAGAATATACTTTCTGTTAAATTAGCTACATCTTGAATTAGCGAATTTACAGATTAGCTAAAGTATCTAAAATGCTAGCTAAAAAGAAATGTTTTACAGTACAGTCATCTACCTTGTGACCAATAAACTCTAAATTAGTAAAACCAAAGTAACACTTTAAAGGTCTTGCGTTTTATTCTGCCTTCCTTAAACAAAACGTCCTGTGCAATCTGTACATGCTCCTTCCATGATTTTGAATAAATTAAAATGTCATCAATTAAATTTCCATCAAAATACGCATCATACAGGAGGAAGAGGCTGGTGCACTCACAAGCCCAAATGGCATTTGTCGAAACTGAAATAAACCATCAGTGATATATAGAATTACCCCTATGTGTGCAACACGTATACATTCCGTTACATATGATAACTTCAAAATTGAGTTTGTCATGTATTCTCGACTATAGCCTTTTTCACCGGCTCTTCGACCGGCGTTTTCCAACAGCTCGCGCAGAGCCCATAGAAATACATGGTACAGTTATGCGAGTCTTCAAGCAACATAGAACGTCCTGTGACGTAGCTCCGCCTCGAGAACACGCATGTATTACCACACCTCGTAATTTGATTACGTCATTCATATATAATTCCAATAAACGATTCACTAAAATACAAATAGTATGTATATTAAATATTTCAGGATTTTACAGATTGTTATTTTTTTTTATTTCGATGGAATTCAAATGTTTGCCTAGACATGAATGCATTTAATAACCGCGTGCTTTCTAACTGAGTGTTGGATTATTGGTGAAAATACATACAACCTGTTGCAAGATGAAGTCATGACATAATAGTGCTGGCTATAAACTAATAAAAGAATTATCTAATACATGTAGATTTAAAGTTCAATAAAAGTGCATGGCGAGTAAAGCTCCACTGTCTGTAGTAGGTGTGTGTATTGTCTCGCCCAATCAATCGATCACGCAATGGCGTCAGCACATGGATCATTGTACCGGGAATCTGTCAGGTATCTGAATTTCGACTGTAGCGCAAAGTGGTATGAACCAGTGATCTTTATTCGGATGTAGACATCGGGAAAACGAAGCATAGAGTCAAAAGTTGTATCTGGGCGTTGGCCAAACGGCTAAAGCCATTGGACCAGGTCCGGTGTGTTCTTGTCTGAGTCTGTATAAATCTGTCCATCCCTAGTAACATGTCTTTTTATAAGGTAAATCACATGACTCAAAACATATTTTATGATAGGACAGTGATTCAATTCACCTGCATAAGTTTCCCGAAGATACATTGAATACAAATACAAAAGTAATTTTAGCACCTCCATATCGTGGGGAAATGACTCTATAGACTGATTTGCCGCCATGATGTTCGATAACTAGTTTGATATAATAGTATAATAGTAAGCACAACCAATTATTCGTGTTACTTTTAATAGTACATCTGTTTGCATTGAATAGTTTACAAAAAATGGCAGGCATCTGCGGAATATTAATGGACACGATTCCCGATGGAAATGTTGAAACAGTTTTTCGTGAAATCTCAGTTCAATCTGTTAAAATACAATTTCTCATTTTGAAACTTTGAAACGTTAATTAAATAATGAGATATTGTTTCAGTGATTTTATTTTCAACCACACTGATACTGGTCATATATAACTTCATGAATATACTTTTTCATTTAAATTCCTGAAAGTTACTGAGTCACGAGTTACATTGAATAGCAGTGCCTCCATTATTGCCATGTTGTTATAGTGTTGACGTGAACAAGTTTGGCGATCTGCTCCGCTAAAAACAAATGTTTGCGGGCGTTACCATGGATAATGGAAGCCAGATGTTTTCAAATGAATGAAGACCTCAGACAAGAATGTGTTTTGACGCCAATACTCTTTGCATTATACATTAATGTTAAAATCATACATATACTCAACAAGTTTTGTGAAATATGGAAAATTACAATTAATAAAGTCAAAAGCTCTAATAGTAAATAAGAAAATTGACAAACAAATGGAATGGCAAATTTCTAACTGTAAAATTAGGGATGAGACCCAGGTTGGTGGGCGCTTATATATAAGATATTACATATTGAGTGTATTCACCCAAAACAGACGTACAAAAACAGACATTCTGTCTATTGTTATAAACTGACCAGCAAAGTGGTAACCAGACCGTGTCCGAACTGTATAATACGAGCCTTTGTTTTCTTGAAATGGGAGTCAAAAGTGAAAACTTTTCAATTGATGAATACATTACCGATGAATACATTTCATTTTTATTCCACTCAAGATTTCTGTCGTTTCAATAAGTTCATCGAATAATCATACATATACCCAACAAGTTTTGTAAACTATAGAAAAAAAGTTCTAATAGTAAATAAGAGAATTGACAAACATACGGAATGGCAAATTGGTAACTGCAAATTTGAGGATAAGACTTAGGTTTGTGGGCGCTTACATTCAAACTTGTATTTCGCAGTTGGAATTTGACTACCTACATTTTATATATTTTCAGGTAGCTCCGTGTGTGAATTGTGTTTTTTCCCTAAAACTAGAAAAGTGTATGTATTTTTCTCTCAAAAATAGCCTTTTTGAGTGTTTTCACTCAAAACAGAGGTACGGAAACAGACATTATGTCTATTGTTATAAACTGATCAGCAAACTGGAAATCAGACCGTGTCCGGACTGCAAAATGCGAGCATTGTTTTCTTAAAATGGAAGTCAGAAGTGAAAACTTTTCAATTGATGAATAAATAACCGTTCGTTTTTATTCCACTCAGGATTACTGCCGTTTTAATAAGTTCATCGAACAATGCGATACGTACAGTTTTTGGTATACTAGATGAGAATCCTCTGTGAAAACAATGAACTGTTGATCCATTGATCCGGCGTCCGTCAGACGTCTATTGGCGATCCGCTCCGCTAGGATTGCCCTTATAATCACTTTTGTCGTTTTGTGTGTGTGTGTGTCTGTGTGTGTACATTTCCAGTGTTCCAGTGTTCACGTATTATTTCTTCTGTGATTTTTTTGGCTTGGCCGATTTCGTTCAAACTTGGCAGGTAGGTCACACCTTAACCCTAGTTATAAGGAAAAATCTGGAAAATTTTTTTGGTCCACCGTTGCCATAGCAACAGCCAAAAAACT